GGTATTCAGGGAGGCCCGGTCCACACTCGCCAGCTCCCAGCTCTGCCCGAATTACTTGATTAAAACGCATATCAACTATTATGTGATTCGTTTCTCCGCCGCAGCTCCTAGCCGGCCTATGTTAAACTGTAACAAAGGCTGAGTCGGGAGGTGGTGGCCACAGGAGCAGAGGACCGGGTGGGAGGGTGTCTCTGCGGGAGGGCAGAGCGACCCCACACCTTAAGGCTGTTGCTGGCTTCCCCTGATCTAGAATTTCTGACAAGGATTTGGAGATGGGTCAGCTCCCTCCTGCAGGTCGAGATACTGTGATCATTTTGTTTCTAGGCGTTTCCTTTGGCAAAGGGGGAGCAGGGAAGTTTGGGCGTTGGGGATGGGAGGGAACCACCCTGGCTTCCCTGAGCAGAAATCAAATTCTCCGACCCCCGCCCGGGAGTTCACTGGGGCTCGGTTGGCTCTCACTGGGCTGGGGGTCCCAGTCCTGGGGTTTCTCCCAGCCCACTGCCCTGGGACTCCACTGGACATCTGTAAAATGGGGCTGTTGCCTGCGTGGCCTTCCAGGGCGTGTTGAGAGAGAGTGTGTTTGGATCACGAGAGGGCATGTAAACTGTGGGGTGCACACACGTGTAAGGTGATGACTACTGCCATGCGTCAGGGGTCAAAGGAACTTTGTAATCATCCCGTGAAGCCCTAGTCACCCCAGAAGCTTGTATTGAGCACCTGCTGTGTGCCAGGTACAGTCCCTCTTGTACTCCAGGGTCTCCTGGTGCAGTGGGGTCCAGAGACCCGTAGACAGGCAAGTTCGGTGTCTCCCGATGAGTTTTGAGAGCCTGGAACCAGCCCGGGTGGGCCCCGGAAGTCCTGCGGGGGGAGGCACCCGTGTGGGTTGTGCGGAGGAGCAAGCGTGCTCCTGGGGACGGGGCAGCGTTCCAAACACAGGGAGCTCCGTTCAGCATCTTGAGCAAGTGAGATGCCCTTGGCCGGGCCATTTAAAGAAGCCGAGAGCTGACAGGGAGCACCGTGGATTGGCAGGGTGAGCCGGACACGTGTGCAGGGCCCACGTGGCGGGGCCCGGCCGGTGTGCCTCGGCTTCCTGAGTGAGCGGCTGTGAAAGCTGGTGGGCGCCAAGGGGCAGAGGCTGGGCTGGTGGCTGTGAGAGCCACCCCGTCACAGTCTGTCCCCTTCCAGCAGCCTGGCCTGGGCTGGACTCGGCCCTGCGCACCCGTGAGCTGGGACTCGCCACGCAGCTCCGCCGCCCTCCCGCCCCTCCCCCCACCTCAGGCTGTGCTGTGGCTCTCTCCACTCACACGCTGTACCCCGCCCTGGCTCCGACCCCTCTGGAAGCTGTGTGTCCTTCAGCGGACTGAGACCTTCCCAGGCCAGGGGTGATACCTCTTCCACCCGATTGGAAGCTTCCTGAGACACACACAGGCTGTTTTGCTCCCATGAGATTGGGAGGGCCCGATGGTGGGGCTCGTTTTCCTCCTTGCTCTGTATCAGACTCCGCACATCCCTGGGCAGAGAGAGGTCCAGGAACCAGAGAGAGGGTCCCTCAGCATGTCCCCCCTCGGGGCTGTCCCCAGACCAGCACCAGCTCGGGCCCCTCCCCAGGCTCTTCCCAGCCCACAGCTGCTTGAGAGCGGGAGGGCGGCAATGCAGCTGGCCGGGGCTGCTCCCACACGGCCGCCCAAGCCCAGCCTCTGTTTAATGAATGCGCTCCCATGTCCCTCTCCCCACAGCCCCTCCCTGTGCCAGCTGCCCAGGCTCTCAGTGATGCAGGCTCAGCCCAGCCATCAGGGCCTCTCTCTGGCCAAGTCTACCTAATCCTGTTGATTAATTGAACTCTGAGACCAAAGGGTTCCGGAGAAGGGGAGAGCATCATTGGGGAGACTGAAGGGAGGGTGTGTGGTAGCATGAGCGTTCTTTGTGAGTGAGCCCCCTCACTCAGGCTGCTTCAGTCCTGCACCCCACCCTCTACCCTTTTCCCTACTGTCATCATCACCACCATCATCGTCATTCTCATCCTTCAGGTGCCCTCTCCAGGCTCCAGATCATTCCCCCAGGTTCCGTTTCATTTCATTCTCAAAGCTGCCCGGGGAGGCACGCAGGCAAGTAGCATCATCTTCATTTCTACAACTGAGAAAACCGAGGTCCAGAGAGGGGAAGCCACTTGTCCAAGGCCACCCAGCGCGGGGAAGACGGAGCCCCGAATCCAGGTGGGAGGCCTCCCAGACCAGGACTCTCGACTAGACCAGAGCTGCGTCAGAGCGCCCCCTAACTCCCTCCCAGTCTGTCCTTCCTCCCCTTCCTTCTCCAGGAATTCGCATGGGCTTACTGGCTGTGTGGCCTCCATCAAGTTACTGAACCTCTCTGAGCCTTGCTTCCCCTCTTTGTAAAAGAGCCGACAGCCCAGACAGACTGCGAGGCGAGCACAGACCTGAACGGTCTCTTCTCCTGGGTGGGGCCAGGGAAGAGGCAAGAGATCTTTTTCAGAGGCCTGAGGTCCCACAGTCCAGTCCCCTCTCCTCCTCTGCCTCGTGGGACAGAGCCTCGCTCTCCCCACTCAGCATCTAGAGGGTTGTTATGGCAACTGCAACATCCTAGAGGATCCTTTCAAACAATAGAGGTGTCTGAGGGCCCTGCTTTGCCTTCCTCAGTCTGGGTTTTGGTCTGGGCATCTCTCTGGCCCCACAGAGTTCCCAGATCTGTGCTGAAGAAGGAGCGGGAGGAACAGGGAGACGAAGAGAAAGGAGACTCAGTCCTCCATGATGGGTGGAGAAAGCTGCGCGTCACTTGGAGGACGAGGGCACTGGATGCGCGAGGCCCCAGGGGGCACTGAGGCTGGGCAAGGCAGGGTCAGGAGCCCCTTGAATTTACCCCGCAGCCAGGCAGTGGCTAACGTCATTCATGCTTTTGGTTATGGTCCAATAGCCTGTCCTGCATTACATTTGTGCTGTCCTGCGTGGTGGCCGCCAGCCACGCGTGGCTACAGAAATCTGAATTCGAGTGAAATAATGTAACACATTCAGTTCTTGCCCTGCTGGTGTGGCTCAGTGATGGAGCGTCGACCCATGCAGCACGAGGTCTCTGGTTCGATTCCCGGTCAGGGCACATGCCAAAGTTGTGGGCCTGGTCCCCGGTAGGGGGCGTGCAGGAGGCGGCCAGTCGGTGTTCTCTCTCATGGATGTTTCTCTCTCTCCCTCTCCCTTCCTCTCTCTAAAATCAATAAAGGAAAATACTTTTTTAAAAAGCTCAGTTCTTCGGTTGCACCAGACACGTTTCCAGCGCTCACTTGCAGACGTGGCGGCCGCTGCCACGTGAACCACGCAGGTCTGGAGCGTTTCATTCATTGAGAAAGGTCAGTTGGGCGGCATTGCTCTTGACCGAACAGAGACCTAGTCACACTGGGGTTTCTCCCAGGACAGGGTCATGTCTCCTCCCCTGTCTGACCGCCCAGCTCTGAGCACAATGTCTGCCCTTCGGTTCTGCCCCCCACAACCCTGATCCCCATCTTGTTCAGCTCCTGCCGGAGCTTCAGGGTCCCCACTGGAGGAGGGAGCCTGGTGCCCCGTGCACCACCAGTTGGCTAGCCTCTCTTCCTGCCTGCCACCCCCTGCTCCCTCCTTCTGAGACCCCAAGGGCTCCCTCTCCTCGTCACTGTCAGAAAACTGAGGTCATGCAGCGAGTTTCAGGAGGTGAATCCTTGCGATGAGTTGTGTTTGGCTCTGAGACCCAGACGTGCTGGGGCAGATGCCCAGGATGCCGGCTGTGCCCACCACAGCCTCCTCTCAGTGATGGGTTGCCGGGCAGCTGGGTAAGGGCGGATGAAGGGGTGGGATCCGACCCCGATCTCTGCCTTTAGAACGAGGCAGGCAAGGCTCCCTTGTCGTCACAGTCAGCCGGGCAGTGACCAATAAAGAGCAGGCATGACTGTAACGGCCGAGGCAGCAGGACGGAGGGAAGGGACTCCGGTGGAGGGGCCTTGCCCGGGACTGGACGCGCTCCAGGCTGTGGATGCAGCCCAAGCTAACATTGCCCATCATGCCCTTCGACATGCCAGGCCTTGCACTGCTAGTCCCTTCACCTCCAGGGGACCTCTAAGAAGCGGCATTCGGTTAGGGAGGTTGGGGGTGGGGAGGCCATCCCTTGTGGGAGGGGCCTGGATCAGTCATGTGATAAAGGTTTGAAGCAATTGAGTGAGAACAAGAGGTGGGGACAGGACCCTGTTGCCTTTGCTCCCTCCATCCCTCCCTTCCTTTCTTCCTGCCTCCTTCCTCTCCTTCATGTTGCAGTCTTTCCCCAAAGTGCAGTAGAGTCGTTGTCTAAATGGTCATCATTGGAAAACTAGTGAACTATAAACACGCATGGAAAAAAGTTCCGTCACCCTGAGGCCAACACCTGCTAATCTCTTCACCGCTGTGTTCCGTAATGTGGCATCGTCGTGTTCCGGTGTTCCGTAACGTGGCATCGTTGTGTTCCGTAACGTGGCATCGTCGTGTTCCGTAATGTGGGATCATTGTGTTCCATAATGTGGCATTGTCGTGTTCCGTAATGTGGCGTCGTTGTGTTCCAGTGTTCCGTAATGTAGCGTCACCGTGATCCATAATGTGGCGTCGTCGTGTTCCAGTGTTCCGTAACGTGGCGTCGGCGTGTTCCAGTGTTCCGTCGTGTTCCAGTGCTCCGTAATGCCTCTCCAAGTCAGGATCGCTTGGTCACAGTTCACATACAGTGAAATTCTCTCCTTTTTGGAGAATATACTTCTTGAGATTTGACATCGTGACCCCATGTCACGGACATCTGTCATCCGTGGAAATACTCTAAATGCCCAACGGTGGGGGATTTTCTTCTTTCAGGGGTTGCTGTGCCATCCAGTGTTGACCGTCCCGGAGCTGGGTGGAGAGTGCTTCCCACACTGCCCTCTGGTGAGCAGTGCAGCCCTGGGCCAAGAGGGCACCCAGCACCCGCCTCTCACCAGGCCCGCCCCACCCCTCTCCCCGCTGTAGGGAACCGGCTGGACGAGGGCTCCGACGTGGAGTCGGAACCGGACCTCCCTCTGAAGCGCAAGCAGCGCCGCAGTCGGACCACCTTCACGGCCGAGCAGCTGGAGGAGCTGGAGAAGGCCTTCGAGAGGACGCACTACCCGGACATCTACACCCGCGAGGAGCTGGCACAGAGGACCAAGCTGACGGAGGCGCGCGTCCAGGTGAGGCGGCATCCGCGTGTGGGCACTGTGGGCATAGCCCCAAGGCTGGGACGAGATGGTGGGGTGGCCAGGCCTGAGGGTTCAATGGGCAGCACATGGTCTGGGGGCTGTAGACACGGATGCTACTCGCAGAGTAAGTGGGCAGCTAATGTTGACTGACTGACCGATGGAGGGAGCCCTGGGGGAGCCAGGAGCTGTGGTGAGGCCTGTTGGATCGTGTTTATCTCCCCAGGCAACAAGTACTCCAAAAAAAGGATGAAAGGTGGGATGGAGGGAGAGATGCAGAGGAAGGAAGGAAGGAGGGAAAGAAGGGAGGAAGGGAGGGAAGGAAGGGAGGGAGGGAGGGAGGGAGGGAAGGAAGGGAGGGAGGGGGAAGAGAGAGAGAGAGAGAGGGAGGGAGGGAGGAAGGGCAAGTAGTTCAGCCAGAAGAGAGGGCTCAAGGAGTATAAACATCTCCAACCTAGATGAGGGAGGAAGTAGTCTACAGGAAAATTCTGAACAGGCCTAGCTTCCTAAGTGGGTAATGAGTTTCCTGTTATACAAAGCATGCAAGCAGACTGGGCAGGCATGTTCCTGGTGGGTTAGAAGCAACAGAGGGAGGGTGGCCAGACCTTGAGCATCCCCGCACATCCTCAAGTGTGGGTTCCTGCCGGCAGGGGCGGAGGGGGGAGAGTGTGGGAAGAGCAGAGCGGCTGGGGTCTAAGGCCTGCAGCAGGGGAGGGGCTTGTGCCCTCACATTCCCAGGACCCCAGTCCTCTAGTGCAGAGGGTCTCGGGGCCCAGGTGCGGAGGGCTCAGGCTGAGCAGAGGAGGAGGAAGGTCATGATGCACAGCTCCCTGGGGAGCCCGTTCCTGGCCTGCCTTCTCTTTGAATGGGGGAGGCGGTTCTGCAGAGGGGCCACCCCACACTGCTCACGGGGCCCTTCCATCCAAGGGCAACAAGCCTTTGTCGGGTACCCACCTTGCTCCAGCCACAGGGTTTGGGGCCTCTCGTGCCTGACCTGGTGGGACCTCAGACCACCTTGCCAGGGTCAGGGCGGTTGCCCTCAAGCTTCAGGGACAGAGCAGAGGCTGAGAGAAACGACACACCCAGAGGCACAGAGCTGAGCAGGGCTTGAGCGGGGCCGGCAGGCGGATGCCAAAGCCCAGGTTCTTCCCATTCAGGACACAGAAGTTGACTCAGAGCTGGAATTTGAAAGCAGTAGAGAAAGTTCTAGAAGCAAAGTGGCATTTAACCACTCCACCCTCCCTACCCCCACTCCTGGAGGGGGGCTTGGCTGCCTTTGAGAGAGACCCCAAGGGGCAGGGGCAGGCGGCAGCAGCCAGCTCATCTCATTCTCGCCCCTCCTCTCCAGGGGGACACCCGAGCTGCCCCCGCCCGGGCCTCCCTCCCCTCCCCTGCTCCTCCTGCAGCTGTTCTGGGCACATTCCTGGGTGCTTTCTCATCCCCATGTCTGGGGGCCACGGCTGCTTCCCACCACCTTGAAGCCTGACCGCTCCTTGTAAAATTTCCTGGCTGTCAGGGCATTGCTTTTATTGGCCCAGGGGACCCAGAAACAGGTGTCACTCAAGGTCCAAGGAGGGAGGGGGCTGGGAAGAGGGGGAACAGCCAGAGTCCAGACAAACCCACAATGAGGGGCCCAAGGCAGACATCCTCCACATGCTGACTCCCCTTTCAGACTCTGGGCTCCCCCTGGGCAAGGCTGGGTCACCCCTCAGACTGTGAGCTCCCCAGGGCAGGATTGAGTCCTCCCCGCTTTGCCTGAGGGCTTTTCCTGCAGAGGGAGGAACAGAAATGCTGACTTTAAAAAAGTGAACAAAAGGTAACCAAAAGAATCGAGACAGGAATGATGGGACATTTAGCCTGGAGAAGAGGAGACTTGGAGGTTGTGTCTGTTTGAGAGGCCCCAAAGGTAGAACGAGGGCCAATAGCGAAATGTCCCAAGTCCCATATACAGGTCCACAGAAACGAGAGCGCAGGACTGGGAGCCACAGGTCTACTTCCCGTGGGTTCCTGCCTTCTGATCAGTTGTCCCCGTTAATAGGTCAGTTTCCTTTCCTGAGACTTAACTTCCCATTTATAATAGAGGAATCGAACTAAATGGTCATGAAGGCCCTTAAAGATCTTTATTGACAATCAAGGCTACCTTGGGAGGTGATGAGATCCCCAATACCAGAAACATTCAAGCAAAAGTGCAACATTTAGTCCAACAGAGACCCTGGAGAGAGGGTTTCTGCCGTGGACAGTGTGGCAGGGACCTTCGAAGCCACCTGAGTGTGGCTTAGGTTTTATGGCTCTATAGTTTTGAGTTCTTGGCCTCTGATTCTAAGAGTCTGTGGTTCAGGGATTTTGTAATCCTATGCCATTTAAAAAAAATTTTTTTTTTTATCCTCACCCGAGGACATTTTTCCATTTTTTATTCAGGTAGAGTGGGGGGGTGGAGAGAGAGGAACAGAGAGAGAGAGAGAAACATCGATCTGAAAGGCACACATCGAGTGGCTGCCACCCGCACAACCGACCAGGGCCGGGGACAAACTGCAACCGAGGTACGTGCCCCTAGCAGGAACCGAACCTGGGTCTCTCAGGACCGCAGGCTGACGCTCTAACCGCTGAGCCAAACTGGCCAGGGCCATTTTAAAAAATTTAAATGTGATTTTCAGTTACAGTTTACATTCAGTGTGTGTCTTGTATTAGTTACAAGTGTACAGCAGAGGGGTTAGACAATCATGTACTTCACAAAGAATTTCCCCTGTGGTTTCAGAACCCACCTGGCCCCATGCATCGTTATTACATTGTTATTAACTGTATTCCCTGTGCTGAACTTTATCCCTGTGACTGTTTTGTAACTACCAACCTGTAGTTTAATCCCTTCGTCTTTTTCACCCAGACTCCCCCCCCCCCCCTTCTGGCAACCAGTTTTTATGCCGTTTTGTGTCCGTGGCCCTGCAGATGGGTGGAGACACAGGCTCACTGTGGGGAGAAGCTCAGGCTCAGGCTCAGGGCGAGATATCTGAGATTTAGCAAACAGAAGTAACTTCCCGAAGACACACGTAACAGTGGAGTGGTTCGGAATGGTCTCAAGCCAGATGCCCGGATGTGAATTCCAGCTCCGTTGGTATCTCCCTTTGCTCTCGGTTTCCTTGTCTGCAAACTGGAGCTGAAGTCATAGGGCCTGAGGACTAAATGATAACGTGGGAACACACACGTGTGCGCGCGCACACACACATACGTATTTAGAGAGTGGCCAGCACACAGAAGTGCGCTAGGTGGGGGGTCATTAACGACGAGAACTCCACCTGTTCTTGATGGTTCCAATCCTGCCGCTCCTGAAACTCCCTTCATTCACCTGGCACTCATTTATTGAGCACCTGCTATGTGCCGGGGACTCAGCAGACAGAAATCGCTGCTGCCATGGAGCGAGCTGATATTAGAATAGACAAGTCGGCAGGTAAACGTGTCAGGTGGGGTTTGTGACTCAAGTGTGTCACCTCCCTCTGGCTCCCCTCCAACCCTGCTTGTGAAGCCTGCAGGGTGTTATATGGCATTCCCGGCGTCTGATGGAGACACCCCCATCTCAACCACGGCGAAGGGTGGAGAAAAGGGGTGTCAGGCAGGAGGACACATGCCTGGGGACCAATAACTTTGTCTGGAGGAATCTTCATTTGTAAACAGCTGGAGGCTGACCCCAACCTTGCACACATCTTCCTTGGAGGTAAACGAGCCCATTGTACCCCGATGCCAAGATCCCTGAGCCTGCGTTTCTTCCAGAAGCAGAGGCCGCCCTGAACTGAATCTCATTTGGGAGGCACCAGAGGGACTCGCTAATTAGTAACTGAAACCAATCTTTTCACGACGTTAGATCGCATGAGGAAGACACGTCTGTGCCAGGCATGATGCTCAACACTTCGCATACATTATCTTTACCACCCTCGCCGTCATCCTGGGAGGTAGGGAGGTAGGGTCAGTCTCTCATTGGGTGAGAAATCTGAGATGTAGCTAAGAGAAGTAACTTCCTGAAGACACGCTTTACAGGCAAGTGTGCTAGGACTTGAACCCAAGTCTACCCGTCATGTTCTTTTCGTCTGTGCTGCACTGCGGATGAAATACTCAGCTCAGGAAACAGACGCTGCCGATGGTGTCTGCTCCCAGCGCTAGGTGTAGAGGGGAGGATCAAACATGAGTAATAAAACGTAGCTGCTGCTTTCAAAGAGCTCAGCCCTGACCAGGGAGTCTAGGTGGGGTGCCGGGCTGCACTGTCCCCCCAGGAGCCCCCACTTGCCCCTCTGTAAATGGGCGGCTTCCTGGTACCAGCTGCTGGCGAAGAGACCTCCCAGCTGAGCCATCGGAGGGTTTCCACCGGATCAGTAGTGGTAGATGCTGTTCTGAGCACTTGCCTGCGTTAACTCATTTGAGGTCCAGAACCGCCTAGGAGGTGGGTGCTGTGATTAGCCACATTTTACAAAGAAACTGAGGCACAGAGGGATCATGGAATCTGCCCGTCTTAGCTGGGAGTCAGAGGCAGGGTTCAAAGCCAGGCAGTGAGGTCCAGGGCCATCGCTGTTGACCGAGGTCGTATTACACTTTGTGAGGACGGAGGTGCCAGCTAGAGTGGAGGCAGCTGGGAAACAGGACAACGAAAGAGGAGGAGCTAAGAGAATTGACAGCAAAGGGCACGTCCTCCTCCAGGAAGCTCTCCTGGATTCTGAGAGGTGCAGTTGGAAGCCCCTCCTCAGACCTCCTGCAAGCCCTTGTGTGTCACCCTGTCGCCGCACTGGGAAGCAGCTGTTCTGTGAGGGGCTGCTGTGTGCCCAGGCAGAGGGCAGCTGGAGGGCTGGGCTGTGTCTTGCTCGTGTCTCCCTCCTTGGCCCGGGGTCTTGCTTGGCGCGGTGCAGAGGCCCAGGAAAGGTTCAAGGTGAGGAGCAGTGGGAAAGGCAGGGAAGGGGGAAGAATGCCTCCAGCGTGACTGAGTATCTTCATCTGAGGACAAGATGGCCAACCCCACAGGAACACCGCCAAGGAGCCAACTGGAGTAGCACGTCCCACGCCGAAGTCATTCTCTGACCAGTCTCAAGATTTTTAAAAAAACATTTTTTTTCCCTTTATTGATTTTAGAGAGAGGAAGGGAGAGGGAGAGAGAGATAGGACCATCGATGAGAGAGAACATCGATGAGAGAGAACATCGATTGGCCGCCGCCTGCATGCCCCCCACTGGGGATCTGGCCCACAACCTGGCCTGTGCCCTGACCGGGAATCGAACCGGCGACCTCTTGGTGCAGGGTCGACGCTCAGCCACTGAGCCACACCGGCCGGATCAGTCTCAAGATTTTTGCCGTATTTGCCCATGTTGTTCTTCACTGTTAGCAACTCTGTACTTGAAAATAAAGGTGTATCTGAATCTCATGAAAGGGAGGCAGTTGGAAACACACGTGAAGCAAACAAAAGGCGAGGAAAGTCCTGCAGGAAAGCGTCGCGTGCAGAGCTGGTCTCAGCTGCGAAAGGAGGTCCGCAGAGTTCGGGGGCAGGAAGGTGCCTTAGCGCTGCGCCACGACCAGGGCCTGGAGCGCTTCGGGGTATTTCATGTCTGTGTCCCGGGCTCTCCGGGACAGCCCCCAGCGTGGCCTGGCGGGAGCCCCACCCTTCGGGAAAGGCTGGATTAAAACACCCTCGTGGGGGAAGGGAGCAGGGAACGCTGCCCATTCCTCCCAGTTCGGAGGCAGCCTCAGCCCCACACCCTGGGGGAACCCCTGGTGCCCTGGGAAAGTGAGGAGTAGCCAGGCTTTATTTGGGCGCCAGTGTGCACCCCTGACTCAGCTGCCTTGACTCCTTTCTCTGAATCCTAAGCTGGTGAGAGCCGGCCGCTCTGGTCACCCAGCTCGGAGAGAAACACCGTCTCTCCCCTGGGAGAAAAGACAAGCGATAGCAAGGGCACGAGAGCACCCCTCCGCCCGGTGAGACTCCCCTTCTCCGTGGCAGCAGGCATGGTCTGGAAGCTTGAGGGTCTTACGTGATCCTGTGCCAGGGAAGGTCGGGGTCTTCACCCCACAAGGAGGGGCTCCCAAGTGAGCTTTGTGGTCCCAGCCCTGCAAAGCCCTCTCTGCCTTCCCTTGTTCGTTCATTCTTTCGTTGGTTCATTCCACAAGTGTTGGGTGAGCACCTACGGAGCAGTGAGCAGTGAGCAAGGGATGCAGAGCCTGGAGCCCAAGGGACCAAGAGAAGCATCACCAAAAACCCAGGAAATAGAATAACTGTGCGAGAGGCACACACAGAACCCCTGAGAAAAGGCAGGACCGGTCTGCACTCACCTTCCGGGCACTGACTAAGGAATCAGCGGGAGGAGGCGGGTCAGCTGAGCCTGCGGGCTGAGGAGCCAGCTGCAGGAAGAGCGTTCTAGCCCCAGGGAAGAGCATGTGCAAAGCTTGAAGTCAGAGAAGCCCCCATTCCGCACACTCTCGCTCTTTCTCTGACCCGGCCCAGATCTCGTTACAAATTCAGACAAGTGGGCTCTGGAAAGTCAGGCGGATTTAAGTCTGAACCTCAGACCCATTACAGACGACTTGTGTGGTCTTGGCAAAGTTATTTGACCTCTGTGGGCCTCGGTTTTCCCTTCTGTAAAATGGGAATAGGAGAACATGCCTTCGGTTCTAGGCGTGGACAGACACGTGAGCTCCAGCACAGGGCTTCAGAGAAAGGGGAGTCAGTGTGAGGTTAGTTTTCCGCGACACCTATTGAACACACCCATGTCTGTGGGGGTGGGGCCCCAGCCAAGGGGACCCATGTTGGCGAAGCAAAGGGGGGCCCCAGGCTCCGGGCGAAGAACTGGTTTTTGCATCTGTGTCTGGCAGGCAGGTCTCTCTCTGGATTCTGGTGGGTTCTGGTGTGTGGTTTCTTCCTTGGGGCCTTCCTGGAGGAGGTGGGAGTCGAGCGTGTGTGGGAACAAGGACCTCAACCTATTGACATCCCTCGGGGCAGGAGCAGCCGCAGGGGAAAGAGCACTGTACCCAGAGTCACACGGCCTATCACCCGGGCAAGTCACCCACTCTCTCTGGGTCTCAGTTTGCTCGTCTGTACAGTGGGGATAGTGATGAGAACCCTCTCACTGGGACGTCATGAGGACAGAACGGTCCATGACCATGAGAGCTCTCTGCAAACCGTGCCCAGCTGTGTGAGGGCGGGGATGACCTCCTGTCGGGGAGGGTGACGGCTCGAGGGACAGGAGTCAGGCTGGGGCGTCGACTCTCCACTCTCGGCCCCCTAGGTCTGGTTCAGTAACCGCCGTGCCCGTTGGCGTAAGCAGGCAGGAGCCAACCAGCTGGCAGCGTTCAACCACCTTCTGCCAGGGGGCTTCCCGCCCACCGGCATGCCCACGCTGCCCCCCTACCAGCTGCCGGACTCCACCTACCCCACCACCACCATTTCCCAAGGTGAGTGCCCGAGCCCGTCCTGGCGTCTTAGCCGTGACCTTTGGTCTCTTCCCCAGGTCCACCCAGTCTCTCCTTCCCTAACACGGAGGGAATAATAAGGGTTGTACATTTATACCATTTGTCTGCTCTCATGTGGACAGACTGAGGACTAAAAAGGTGAGGTCCTGCCCTTGAACTTCCTGGCTTTGTCAACAGGCCACAGAGCATCCAGGTGAGGTTGACAAGGTCACCTCCGTGTCCAGATTTAGAGCAGAGCTTCTCAAATTAAAGCCACGTGGCTCTCCTGGGTCTTGTTCAAATGCAGAGGAGAAGGCTTCCCCCCCACTCCTTGGATCCTGGCTCCCCGTCTGCCCTCCCCCGCACCCCCCGCCCCCACCAGCGCACATTAATAATCCCGCTACCTGACATCTGTCTCATGAACCCCAGAGGCCTCCGCTTACAGTGCTGCAGGCTGGAGCTCTGGAGGCGAAGGAGACAAGAAGGGAACGTTCTGGGTTCTTGAGGAGAAATTAAACTTTTGCCAAGAATGATGGTCCCGTCCACTGGAAGGATGCACAGAGGGGCCCTGACAGAGCGGAATAGCAGCCAAGCCACTAGGACCAGACACAGCAGTGCCGACCTCGGCCACACCACTCAGCCTTGTCACCTTGCACGCGTGCCCCAGCCCCCTTGAGCCTCGGTTTCTCCATCCATAAAATGGGAACCACGTCTGCTTTGTACCCTTAGTATTTGTAGAAGCACCTGGCAGGTGGTCGATACTCACAAAGTGCTCTCAGGACAGGCCTGGATAGATTAACAGAGTCCCCAATGAGCTCTGACTTTCAGTCCAGATGAGTTACTGAGCACCTGGTGTGTGCCAAGCACTGGGCAGCAGGGCCGGTGCACAGACGCCTAGAGATTGTCTGGAATGTTGGTTGTCTGTCTGTCCAGACATGGCCAGTCCCTAGTGCCCTGCCCAGAAGCCAGCTTGTCCCATTTCACAGATCGAGGGAAGACGGTCCCTTCTGTCCTCTGGATGGGGACTGGGAGAAGGAGGCTTATAGCTTGCTTTGCAAACAGGAGATTCTTTCCCTGCCCTGGGAGGCCCACCCTCCAAGATGAGGCCACTTGCTCAGCCCTCCCCTGGGTCTCTCCACAGATGGGGGCAGCACTGTGCACCGGCCCCAGCCGCTCCCGCCGTCCACCATGCACCAGGGGGGGCTGGCTGCGGCCGCCGCTGCCGCAGACACCAGCTCTGCCTACGGAACCCGCCACAGCTTCTCCAGCTACTCCGACAGCTTCATGAACCCAGCGGCGCCCTCCAACCACATGAACCCCGTCAGCAACGGCCTGTCCCCTCAGGTATGTGGCCTCGCCCCTCTTCGCAAGGTCTCATGGCCAGACGCCCTTCAGCCCAGCCTTCAGGGGCTCCGGGTGACGCCGGCTGGCTCTCCTTGGGGGGAAAAATCACGGGTGTCCACAGAACCACTGGCTGATGGCTACCCTGAGAGTTTAAATACCTTCACTTGTCATTCATTTGTGATCCTTACCTTGAGTTTATCTTCCCAAGCGGCAGACCTGGGTGTCCTAGCAGGTGGATGGAGAAAGGGTTTTCATAGCAAGTTTCCATACTTCTTGCCACCCAGAAACAAACAGATACTGTGTCATAGACTTGCTCCTGGCCCCAGAGCCACCCACAGGAAACTGGCCCCCCACCCACCTCATGGCTGTTCAGCCCATAAAAGTCAGGCATTTTCAGACAGCACATTGGTGGACGCCTTGCGCCCTTTCCTGTGGGATTCTGACTGGTTGGGGCTTTGCTCTAGGACCGGGGGTCACTCCTGGGTTCCACCCTGTCTCCCGCCTTTCACCAGGAGTGACCATCCAGAGAAAGGCAGGGCCATGTCCTCTTGGTGGAGGGAACTGTGGCTGGAGTTCTACAATGGTGCTCTGTTCCCATTGGGTCTCGGAAGCCTGTCCACGCACGTGTGATTGGTTGCTGGTTACGTCACTCATCGCCTGGTGGTGCTGCTGTTAGAAGTTGTGGGACCTACTTTAAATGAAGTGGGGAAGACAATGCCGAGGCTGATGGTGGTTAGTGGTGGGTTTGGGGACTAAGACTGGGTGACGCTGGAAGTTCTAGTGGATTTGAGGAACTGGTGAGTTCATTTTTGTAGCTGCAGCAGGCTCTCAGATATCTCCAGGGGAAGATTAAATCCAAGACTGGTTTTACCCCGCCTCCCACCATCTGAGACACCACCCTCTTGTCTGGGGTGAAAATATGCCTGCTACAAACTTACCTGAACGCTGTAGTGCAGTAGAGAGGGGAAGACGCACGGAATCCCAGCTCCACTCAGGTGTTAGGAAGGTAGCATCCTTGAGCCTCAGTTTATCTCCTGCTAAACAAAAGAATGATTAAACAAAGACTGTCACTGACCTCCTAAGAAAGGTGTTCTCTGCACTCACGTGCTAATAGGTGAGAACACAGAGCACAGAGCCGGGCGCAGAATAGGGGCCAAGTAGACATTAGTTCCCATTGCCGAGACAACATAATTAGTCTAGAAACCTGTTGTTGAAATAAAAGGAGGCCAAAGGGGAGGTCGGCTACCATCCCCTGCTCCTGCCACATCCGTCCAGCTGCCCGTTTTTGCAAATCACGTTCGATCAGCACACAGCCACGTTCATTCATTTACGTGCTTGTGGCTGCTTTTGTGCTGAACAGCAGAGTCGACTTGTTTCTGAAGAGATCTCGCCGCAGAGCCTGAAACTGTTCCGATCTGGCCTTTACCGAAAAGATTGCCACCCCCTGGTCTGAAACATTTCCCAGAATGTTACTTTTCTGAGTGTTTTTGCTTCAGTCCTGTTTGCCTCTGTGAATGTGTTTAGTGGAGGGCTGCTAGCATTTCAGTTCCATCACTTACTTGTGGGTAAGTTCCCTTCTCCTCTCTCTGCCTCGATTTTTCATCCATGAAATGGGGACGACACAGCAGCTCCCTCATTGGGTCACTGAGGATTGAGTGGCACGAGCTAGGTAACGCCCAGGGCCACGCAGAATTGAACGCCGAGTAAACAGTTGAACGCAGAGTTCCCAGCGGTGATGCCCCCAGTCTCCCGGGGGCCCACAATATAGGGGGTGCTGCAACCTGCAGACCTGATGTTTCCCAGTGAACCCAATGGGGCCTCTTTGGGATTCAAGACCATGACCTCAAGACCATGCCCTCTGTGCCAAGGACTAACTGGCCCGGCTCACCTTCCAGCGTCAGGAGACAGAAAAGGATCCCAGAACTGGCTGGGCAAGGATGCTGCCGAGGCCCGAGGAGCCCGGCCCCGAGAATGTGGCCCCGGCCTGGCCTCCTGGTACAAAACAAGTTGGAGGAGCACCCCTTGGAGATCCGAAGACGGACACTGGGATTATGTGGCCAGACATCTCCCTGTGCCGATGTGGGGCCCAGAACACGTTGGCCGGGCGAGGACTGACCAGGGCACCTGGATCCCTGACCACTGCTCTTCCCAGCCCACTGGTCTCCATGTGGGCGGAGGTTTATCCCCAAAGCAACACTTCTGTAACAGGGCAGAGGAGAGACTAGCAAACCAGGGGCCCCTGGCTTCTGCAGCGTGGGTCCGCAGGGGATTAAAGAGTGAGGAGGTTTCAGGCACTGTTTGGGTGCAGAAATGAACCTCAGGAAGGCAGCGAGACGAGAAGCCGACCCACTGACGCGAGCAGCCCCCTCCCCGGTCCTCAGGGCGGAGAGGCGGCGAGGCCAAGATGGATTGGGCGGACTTCGGACACTCACCCAAGGTTCCCACCAGAGGTGTGAAGACAGATGGAGGGTCTGACAGGGGCAGAGGGGACCAGGAGGTGAACAGCTGCTGGAGGGGAGGGGGGTGCGCGCAGGGTGGACTCGGGGGCAGGCTGTGTGTGCTTCTGTGTGCGTGACCCTCTGGGGTTAAGCTGCAAACACTTCCTGAAGGAAGGGGGGCCGCAAGGGGGGGCATTTGGGTCTTGTGCACAAGTTGCCGGCATTTCTGAGCTCCGACGCCCGGCATGCTCGCGCCTCCGTCTGAACGGGCCCACTGGACACCTTCGGCGTGTCTCTGTGGTCTGTGGAGCACTGGGGATTGTCCACTGAAATCAGTCCACTTCCCACATCCTGTCTCCCCAACAAGAGTGGCTCGCCTGGGCAAGAAGGGGATGATGGGCCCCATCTGGGGCGGGGTGTCCACCTGGGCAGTGACCTGGCACACAGCCCCTCACCCAGAATGGCAGGTCCCTGCCACCACTGCCCAGATAGCTCTGGCCCAAGGGGATCGCATTGGGGGATGAAGTTGGGGCTCCGCTGAGCACCTGCCGGTCACACTGGCTGGCTTGCTGCTGCCTGGGGGAGGATGTGCCCCCTCCTGGGGGTTGACTCCATCTTTGTCTCGGACCCAGCTTGGGAAGCAGGCGCCGTGAGCCTCAGGGACCCCACAGAGAGACCGCCCCGCAGTTTCACAAACAGCCATTTAGTCCTCTCAGCTCTGTGCCTGGCCCCTGACTGCAAGATACAAGTAGCTGTGGCGTGCCCGCTGGGTGCCAGGCACTGTTCTAGGCGTCAGCCCGGGAGCACGAGGGATGAAGCCGCCGCCCACGCCAAGCTGCAGACAGACAGCAAACGTCATGAAATGGCAAGTCCCCCGCTGTGCTCCATGCCCATGTTGACAAGGACAGCTAACCTTTCTGAGCCCCTGTGACTCGGACCCTGCTCGGAGTGTTCTCCATTCAAGAGACAGAACCGGGATTCAGCCCTCAGCTCTGGAGTCTGAGCTCGGAACCACTCACCTCCGCCTTGGAAATGCCCCCACCTGCTGTCTCTCTTGGAGATGGGTTGACGGCAAGAAGAAACCATCCGGGAAGCTGGTACCCTCAGCTTGGTGGAAGGGAAAGCTCATTCAACCCACGTCATGGATGAGAAAACGGAGGCCAGGGCCCCAGCTTAGGGGATGATGGGCAGAGCTGACTCATTGGAAAGGCTTCCTCAACATTTGGATCACCGTGAGGCTTGGTTCCCTCCTAGCCCAGCCCTGGTCCTCCCCCAAAGCCCAGCCGTACAGGGTCAGGCACTCGGCACCCTGCACGCGGACACCCCAGCTTTGCACCCTGGGTCCTTCTGAAGAGGAAACTGACTTCTGCCCATGAGACCTCTCTGCTGGCTCACTGGAGGCTGGGACTCAAAGACACCCCCCCCCCCACTCTGTCCCCTCACTCCAGGCTGAGGGTCAGTCACTGAGGACACAGCGTAGAGCAGCTTTGGACAAAAGGCTTCTGGAACCTGACCCACTTCGAATCATCGGACACCTGCAGACTCATCACTGGCTCGTATCTAAGATCGTGAGCAGGGCACACTTTTAGGGATAGTGAGCGGAGATATAAAGGGGACACCTAGGCCGGTTCTTGGGGGTCCCCCAGTTCTGGTGGGGGAGACACAGCCCGTGGCTGAGGAGCTCCTGGTCTGAGAAGAGGGACCAGCTCCGGTCCTCAGGAGGTCGGAGTGGGACGGGAGAGCAGGGTCCGAGGACGCCCGCCCAGCCAGCAGGTGGAGCCACGCCCTCCCTGGAGAGCTCCCTCCCGTGTGGTGGGGGAGGCGGCCGGGAAGCCCTCCATCGCTGCAGCACTTACCGATCCAAGCTCCCCAAAGATCAGGTGCCAAGTTTTGCCATTTTGGGGGGTCACGTGGGCTGAGACCAGGGGCGGGGTGCCCTGGGCCAGGGGCTTCTTCAGGACTTGTGTGTGTGTCCCCAGGGGGCAGCTGGAGCTTCCTTCTCCCCCAGGTTGTTTCAGATGTAGACTCCCCCAGAGTGGGAAGTGGAAACTGAGGCCCAGAGCGGGGGAGAAAATTGCCCCAAATCACACCATCGCTCTGTCGGCTAGTGGCCGAGCCGGGACTGCCACTCAGAGCCAGGCCCCAGGCAAGGGCTGCAGCCACCGCCTCCTGGAAAGGGGGCCTTCCTGTCTCGTCACCACCACTCACTTCGCTCCTTCATAATGTCCTGCGTGGCCCTTCTGCTCCTCTCTGGAGCCTGTGGGAGGGGTTGACACTATGGCCTCCACAGGAACTAACTGACGAGAAGCACTCTGGGAGGGCAGCTCTTCATCCGGCCGTCGGCAAACCCGTCTGTCCTTCCTTCCTGTGCTCGCGGTCATTGCAGGGGCAGCCTGGGGCGCGCGCATGCACAGTGGGCCAGCCGTGGCCAGGCTCCGTACCGGACCTGCTTCCACTCCCTGGATCTTGGCAGCTATTGTGACCTGCACTTTACAGATGAGGAAACTGGCTTGTTTAGGGTCACCCGTCCATCCATCCTTCCTCCATCCGTCCATCCAACAA